GTCACCACGCCCGGCTAACATCTGAGTATTTTACCAGCAACTTCAATTTCTATTAAGATACTTTCTTTCCTTCCCTTCCCTTTTGTGATATTGGGATTGAAACTAGAGCTGCAGGCATGCTAGGCAGATGCTCCACCCCTGAGCTCCAGCTCCAAAACAATAAAGATACACTTTCTGTCTTTCATTCAACTCAAGCCTGACCTGAAGATTGCTATCTTAGAAATAAAGGTGTTGGAGACATTGCTATTCAGCAAGATACTCTGGCAGCAAACAGGGAAACAGTAATGCTAAATACTAAACTTGTGTTGTCAAAGTTCATTGTGAACAATGATCAGGTTTCCTTTTTAAAAGGGTCTTCATTTTTTCTTTAAAAATTACATATAAATACATACATACATACGTACATACATACATACGTGTGTGTGTGTGTGTGTAAATTGGGAGGCAATTAGTGGGAATCTGTTCTATTTCCATTTTGTAGGTTCTGGGATTGAACGCAGGTCATCAGGCTTAGTGGCAAGTGTCTTAGCCATTGAGTCATCTTGCCTGCCCTTTTCCCTTTTCATTTAAAATTTTTATTGTATATATTGATTGTGACTATTCATATATACAAGTATAAGAGAATCTACAACCTTGTGTGTGTATGTGGGTATGAGCATGACTTGGTGCTGTTGTGGAGGTCTGATAACTTGTGGGAGGCTGTTCTAATTCTATTTTCCAACATGTGGGATCTGGGATCAAACTTAGGTCATCATGATTAGTGCCAAGTACCTTCACAGGTTGAGCCATCTTGCAGCCTCAACAATCTACATTTTAAACAAGCACTCCAGTGTTCCTATTACAGGTGGTCAGTGGACCATATCTTGAGAAATACTGCTCTTATCTAAAGCAGAAATGACTGCCAAATGGAAAATGCTAATATGCTATTTAGATATATATGGGCTTATCTACTTCTGAGACTTTATCATCTCTCATCTGTGCCCTTTACAAATTTTCATGACTATCATTTATGGAATGAGAGATAGGTAATATTTAAGAGTGGCAGTTTTGTCTTCCCAAATAGATTGTAATTACTTTACAGACAAGGATCTCTCAGAAGTCTCCTGTAAAAGAGAAAGACATCAATGAAGGGAGCCGGGATGCTTACAATCAATTCCTGTTACCTCTATACAACTTCATTTGTGTATGTGTTGAGACAGGGTTTCTCTGTGTAGTCCTGGCTATCCTGGAACTTGCTTTGTAGGCCAGCCTGGCCTCAAACTCAGAGATGCATCTGCCTCTGCTTCTTGAGTACTGGTATTAAAAGCACGCACCATCCTGCCCAGCCTGCCACCCCCTTTCTTTTAAACTTGATTTATTTATACTGAATTTATTCCTGTGCCATAAGCTTTTGTTTCTTCATTTTCTTCTGGAGCATCTTTTTCTTCTGTGCATCCTCCTCTTCTGGCTTTGGAACAGTTTGCTCATTTCAGAGAGGATCACCTCGATGTGGCAGGGGGAGTACATGTTTGAGCTAATTTGGCTATGAGCTCTGTATGCCAGCACACCTTAGGTGCTTTGTTCACCTGGATATGTTCAATGACTAGAGAACCTACATCTAAACCCTTCAGTTCATACTCTGCATTTTTAAGCATGCAGCAAAAATTCAGCACTCTTTTTGAGCCACTGACCCACTCTTTGGCTTGGACAACCTGACTCCACTGTTATACTGCTAGAAAGGGACACGTTGCTCCTTTAAAATGCTATGTTTTAGGGCTGGAGAGATGGCTCAGCGGTTAAGAGCATTGCCTGCTCTTCCAAAGGTCCTGAGTTCAATTCCCAGCAACCACCTGGTGGCTCACAACCATCTGTAATGAGATCTGGTGCCCTCTTCTAGCCTATAGGCACACATGTAGACAGAATATTGTAGACATAATAAATAAATGAATAAATATTTTTTAAAAAATGCTATGTTTTAGACACTTGGTGGCTTTTTGAATATGCATATCCTTGGTGACCTGGGCAGTTTCACTTTCTTAAAGTGAACATGAGGATTTGAACCTCTTGAATTGCATGATTTTGTAGTGTTTTCCGGGTCAAGGAAGTAGTGAACAATTTTTATAGGTCACTTCAGTCCACATACAGGAAGAGCTGACTTCCTCCTTACACAATCTATTTTTTTCTTAAAGTTTTTTTTTTTATAATTGAGTGTTTTTTTCCAGACACTGCTGTGTACTACATGTGTGCCCGGGGCCTGAAGAAGCCAGAAGAGGGTGTCAGATTCCCCTGGAACTGTAATTATAGACTGTGAGCCACTCACCTGGGTACTAGGAATTGAATCCAGGTCTTCTGGAAGAGTGGTCAGTACTGCTAAACTAGCTCTCCAGACACTACACGACTTTTGAAAAATCTGGAGACTTTGCGTTATGTCTTTTAGGGTAGTTATAACAAAATACCACATCATAGAAACAATATAGAACTCTTTATTTTTGAAGGCGAAAGGTCTGTGATTAAAGTGTTGGCAGTTGGAAATGGCTTGTCAACCATTGTCTTCTCCCTGTCTTCAAAGGATCTTCTCCGCTTATCTGTATCTTGATATTCATTTGTTTGATGGCGCCGGTCTTATTTTACTAGGGTGTACCCTAAATGATATTGTTTTAACTTATTAATATCCTTAAATACCCTATCTCCAAGCCCTTCCCCCGCATCTTGAGGTACTATAGATTAGGACTTCAGCATTGGATTTTGGGGATATAATTCAGCCCAGAAAAGACCCCTGGTTTCAGCTTCTAGCGTGCACTCACTCCCTTCTCCACCTGTCAGTCTTGTATAGTATGTTTTCTCTACTCTTTGGCTTTCTTCCTCCACCTCTTACAGACATATGGCTTGTGTGGCAAGGATTCATGGAGATCAGCTCTAAAAAGCCTGTGGTAGGATGGGCAGGCCTTGGCTTGCCCCAAATAGTACAACACTTAGGAGTGGTTTCTGTTCCAGCCCTTTGCCAGTCCTCTGCTCATCTGTGTCTCAGTGTTTGATACAGATTCTTTGGAACTGGTCTTGGGCTATCATCTGTCTTGGTTTTCTTCCCTGTAGCTTTTTGTTGTTTTGTGTCTTTCTTTAGTCTCCTAAGGCCAGGTTACAGACACACTTGAAGGCCCAGTTCTCCTGCCTCTGTCTCGTAAATGCACTCTTTCTATTAGGTCTTTCATTAGGCCTTTCCTTGAGTAGTTCATTAATTTTTTTTTACGTGTGTTTGTGCGTGTGTGCGCGCGTGTGTGTGTGCGTGTGTGTGTACAAGTGCATGCCCCAGTGTACTTGTGAACCTTGTTCAGTTTTCTCCTTCAACCATGTGGGGGTCTAAGGACAATGACAATGCTTAGGGTCCTCAGGCTTGGTGGCAAACACCTCTACCTGCTGAGCCCTCTCACTGTCTGCCCTGAGCACTGGACTATTTGAATACCTCGCTCGAGGATGGAGTCTCGCACACATCCCACAGTCCTGAAGTTTAGAGGATAAATCCATTACTGTGGCATCCCTAAAGCTGACAAATGGCAACACCATTAAGAGTCCTAGGGAAAGAGACTGTACCATTTAAAAGGTAAAAGAACAAGAGGCAACTTCAAGGGTTTAAAATTCTTTCCTTGGTCACTTCTTCATGCCAGCTTCAGAGAGTACTACCATGAAGAGGCAAAACTTTCCAGATCATTCTTAGTCAGTCGAACAGCTTGTTAAACCAGAAAGTCTTGCTCAATTATCTCTCTCTCTCTCTCTCTCTCTCTCTCTCTCTCTTTTAAGCTCGGAGTTTCCTTTGTTCAGCTGACATTTATCCCAACGACACAGTTACTGTTAAAATATAGGCCACTGTTTTGTAAAATTCGCTAATTCTCCAATTTGTTTCCAACCCTTATTACTTCAAGTGAGTGGGCAAATTCTTGGAGAAGCTGCCCCTAATGGTAATGAGGGGTCCCATTGTTCCTGTTGACCATCAAATCGTCCTGACTTAGCTTGCATCCACGAATGTGTTTCCCGGGGTGTGGCCATCTGCCCTTTTCACTTTTTGCCTTCTGGCATTGAAATCCTCTTCTGGTCATAATGTTCTCTGCACCTTCCCTGGTCTTCATCGCGGGCTTGTATAATGGCTGGGAAAAGAACTCCGGGTCCTCTGAATTCTTGCACTAGGTTAGAACTCACCCGGTTCTTGTCAAATGGGTCTCCTGTCATCGCCACTGCACTTACGTCCAATGGTTGTATTGTGTTGGGAACTCTTCCAGTCGCCACTAATCGACAATGCGCACGGCCATGAAAGTCTTGCTGTGATGTGGCAGACCTAGAGAAATCTTGTTGGCTTCACCTCAAAAGGCTTGGGGCAACCCCAGGAAAGGTTGGAAGGAAATCTCAGAAGTCAGGACTCACTGGTGCTTAACTGTTGAAGACAGCATGAGACTGCTGTCCTTTGTACCCGGCCTTGTCCACCAAACTTTCTTTACTAACATTTCTCTTCAACAGCTCCTTTCAGGTAGGCTGAGGAACTAAGCAAAGGGCTGGGGATGGATTAGTTACATTGGTTAGCCTGCACTAACCTGAAGGCAGTGGATGAGCTTGATATCCACCTCATTAGCGTCAGGATTAGCAATGCTACAGCCCATCAAGGCAGGGCCCGTACATCGCCTCCTGCACCACTTAGTCCCACTGGGTTCTGGGTTCCCTTCCCGCGATACTGGCCGCAGGTCCTTGCAGGGAGGTTGGAGCGGAACCATTGCATCCACTCTGCTCTCTGCCGGGAGGTGGAGCCGTCGGGCCGGCCCCAAAGCCTCCCTGGCAGAAGGGGTAACCGCCACGTCCCGGACCCGCCCGCCCTCGCACCGCTCGGCCCGGAATGGCAGAGCGGCGCTCGGACCATCGGCATCGCCTCACGTCGCCCCGCCCCGCGCCGCGCGCCCATTGGCTGACGCCGGCCGGAGCCCGCGCCTCTCCCCCTCCCCCTGGCGCCGGGACCGCGAGGCTGCCCCGAGCGGGGTCGGAGGTGAACGGCCTGGAGTAACCCCGGACGCGCGCCTACCTCTTGGGGCTGGGCGGCTGAGGTGGGCGGCCGGGCGGGGGCGGGCCGGGGGCGGGGCAGGCCGTCGTAGCCCCTCCCTCCTCGGCCCGGGTGCCCGGCCGGCCTGCCGAGCGCCTGTCAGCCATCGCGGAGCTGCCGGCGTCGCCTCCCGCCCAGCACGCTTCGGCACAGGGCTCCGCGACCCTCGGTCGGTGCGTGCCGCCAGCCTGAGGTGAGGGAAGGGCCGCAGCGCCACCCGGAGCGGCCCGAGTCGGGCCGGGGAAGGGCAGCCGACAGGGGGCGGCCTCATAGCCTCCGCCCGCCCGCACGCGGTGGGGCTCCATCCCGTGCAGACCCCGGGCTGGGCAGCCGGGTCCTCCCCTCAGCTCCGCGGCCTCCAGGCCCCCTCCCCCGGGCTCCACATGGAGGGCTCTGGGGTCCAGGGCTGGCGGCCCGAGACCCCGGAACCCGGGAGGAGTGCCGCCCTGGGCCCTACGGGAGGACCCGGGGTGTCCGCCCGCTGCTGGCTGCCACTCGCCGGGTTGAGTCTTGGCCCCGAGAGGGACAAGAGCACGTGGGAGGCGGGTGCTGAGGGCCGGGTCTGGTGGCTTGGAAAGTCTTGTTCCTCTCTTGCAGAGAGAGGTGTGGGGCGCAGAGGCGCGGGCTGCTGTGCCTCTCACTGTGCCTTTGTATTAGGGAGAGCCCAGGCCGGGCGCGCTGTCCCCTTGCCAGTTCCTGCTCGCAGGATTTGAGGGTTTCTATGAGGGACGGAAGTAGGAAAAACTACGCGCCAGCTCTTAACTCTCCCCTTGGCGTTCCTCTTGTTGGTTTGGGGCAGCTGTTGGAGATAGGACATAAGAAGGTGATTGGAAGCTAAAGATTGCAGAGGAAAATGAGCGTGGAGATTCGGCCCACGTCTGGGACGGTATTAGTTGGAACTGAGTATCCGGCAAGTGGACACTTGGAATCAGCTTTAAAGCTCAGGGGTTCATGTAGCCCTTGTGGGTTTTTCTAAAAGCATACAGGAGTATATCTGCTCAGGGGAAATAATTTTAGATGGATGTGTTGGGAGATTTAAGACAAATCAGGAGACTTCAGGATTTCCTGATTCCATGTCTGCATAAAGTGTTTCAGAAACTTTCCAATGTGCGGAATAAATCTCATGACCTGGCCTTCGCTCTCAGAAGTTGATCTCACTTGACTTTTCTGTTTCATTCCCCCCCCCCCCCTAATCCTACAGTTGAGGCTTAGAAGTATGCTTTCCTTCGTTACATAGTTTCCTCTCTTAGGGGATAGGAACACTCTAATTTGTTGCTTCATGAATGGGGATGCCCTTGACATCTGTCTTGGGGATTTCTGTGCCCGTTTGACAAACACTCCTTGGGAAAGCATCGCTGTCTAGAGTAGGGTCGCTTTTAGCAGTGCAGGTAGTAGGTGCCTGCTTGCCTGCAAAGTAGCAAGTCTTCTCCCACTTCTTTGGCTTCTGTTTTATTTCTAAATACTACTTGGGTTTTAACAGGAGTGTTGGTGTGACCTCAATAATAATTATCAAAACCTGTGGGTCAGTGAAAGACGTCAACGGTAAAATACTAATTTCTGAAGCTGCCTGTGTTTATTATTAGTGTTGTAGAGGCTTTGCTTACGTTTTACCAAAGTAAGAATAGAAATACATCAAAGGTAAGATTAATTTGTTTTTAAAATGAGAGGAAAAGGTGGGAAATAGCCTTTCACGTAATGAATTTATACCTCAGACCACAGCTAGGTAATGTCAAAGACCTGTTGTTGTGAAAGCTAGCTTTGGAGAACTCTAAAGCGCTGTGAGCTCAGGTGGAGAGCACTTTTCAGCTAATGAGTAGGAAAACTTTCCCGTCACACAGACTGGTTTAACTGCTCTGAAGCTAGCGTTTGGTTTTTATTTGGAGGGTCTCCATGTGTTCACCCTGAACTTGGAATCCTCCTGCCTCAGTGTCTTAAGTACGAGGCATGTGCCACCATTCGGAGATCTGCCTGCTTCTGCCTCTCAAGGCACACTTGTTTTTTCCTTTATTCTCTTTTCTTCTTTGTTTTACATTTATTTGTTTTTGCTGTGTTTGTGTGTGTGGTAATGAGGTGCTGAGGTGCACGTGTGGAGGTCAGAGGACGACCTTAGGGAGTGTTAGGGAGTGGGTCTTCAGGATTGATCTTAGGTTTCAGGCTCCACAAGTGTTTTTACCCCACAGTCATCTTCACTACTCTTAAAAAAACAAAAACAAACAAAAAACAAAAACAAAAAAAACTTGTATTGATTTTTTTTTTTTTTTTTGGCGGGGAGCATAAGCATGACATGTGGAGATCAGAAGACAGCCTGAAGTGTTTTTTCCTTCTATGTCCTGTGAGCCCTGGGGATTGAACTCAGATCCTCAACTCAACAACAATCCCCTTTGCAGCAGAGCTACCACCTGGGATTACAGGTGCATATCACCATACTCGTTTAGTTTTTACATTTATTTGTGTGTGTGTCGTGCATGTGTGTGCTTGTGTGTGCACACGAGTGCATGCACATGATATCAGAAGACAATATCCTAGAGTTGGTTCCCTTCTACCTGGTTTCCTGGCAAGTTCCTTTATGTGCTGCGCTGTCTCCTAGGCCTTCTCACCTTTTTTTATACAGGGCTGGGGACTGAACTCAGGGCTCTGTGGGTTCTAAGCAGGCAGCCAACATCTAACCAGCTCAACATCCTCACCCCACTGCACCTTTCTTTAAAATTAAGGCATTTCCAGCCTACAGCCCCCCAGGCCACATGAGCCCCAATGTATCTGTGAATAGGACCAAGGCATTAGTAGATGACACTGTTTTGGAATGTCAAAAAGTTAAGTATTCCTTTTTTGTTTGTTTTTGTCATTTTTAGCTGACATTTTTGGATGAGGAAACAAACAAAATGTGTAATAATATACTTAAATTTAATGTTTGTACTTGGGAGAAAAAGGGTATTTTCAACAATTCAGAAAAGAGTTATTTTATCATTATCTAACTATTAAAATTATATGTGCGTATGGCGCAGGAGGGAGCAGCTCAGGTCAGAAGACAGTTTTGGGTAGTTAATTCTCTCATTCCCTTGTCGTCACCAAACTTGAGTGGGGCCAGGCTTGCTCTTGAAACTTGTTTACTAGTTGAGCCATATCTCTACCCTTAGCATGTTCTAAAAGATGAATAATTGTAGAAGCCACAGACCAAGCATCTTTCCATACATTTAACTCAGTAAACACTGAAGCTTTATTGGCTGAAAAGAAGTCTTAATCACTGTTGAGGGGACTACCATTTGAAGGTCATCCTCACTGATCATCCAGTTTAACAGGTTCCTTTTTAAGTGGTTTATGTCTGTTTTTTAATTTTTAAAACTTCAGTGAGAATTCTCAGCTTGAACGTAATGGTTCATTTGACGTGATATAAATAAAAAACTAGACAGTATATTACAAGGATGTTTCACTTGCATGAAGAGTGCACCTGATCTGGCGTAAGCTCTTACAGGTTCAGCCAGTTAATCTTCGTCCAGTGTGTTCTAATGATTGAGTTCTCTTACCAATTTGTTACTTTTTCAGGTTGCCGTTATGCCCTTTGGTTTTGGGATGTTGAGAAGTAGTTTCACAATAAGGGATTTTCTTGGGTGTGGTAGCCCTTGTGTATAATCTCAGAACTCAGGAAGCAGAAACAGGAGGACTTCCATGAGTTTGAGGCCAGTGTGGTGTACATACATAGCAGGTTCCAAGTGAGCCAAGGACTGCATGAGAAGAAACCTTTTACAGAAAAAGTAAAAAGTGAAACCAAAAAGGGATGCTAATCACTATACCTGTAGGTTGGTGGCCTCAACTGCTGCCAGTTGCTAGTGTTTTTCTTTGAGACAGTTTCATTGCATTCTTACAGCCTTTTGTTCTGACTTCATTATACGAGGAACTGCAAAAATAATCAGTATTCCATAACACTGGGGATTGAAGTCATATGGCCATATATGTAAGTTTTGAAGAGGTCTTCTTTTTTTTCTTTTTTCTTGTTTTTGGTTTTTTGAGACAGTTTTTCTCTGTAGCTTTGGAGCCTGTCCTTGAACTCAAAGAGATCCACCTGCTTCTGCCTCCCAAGTGCTGGGATTAAAGGTGTGTGCCACCACTGCCCAGCCAAAGAGGTCATTTTACAATCAGCCAGTATAAATAATTTTATTTGATATGATAACAAAAGTTTGAAATTTTTGAATGAACTTGTTAAATTTGAAAAATAGACCTATCTAGGCAGTGATAGCACATGCCTTTAATCTCAGAGGCAGAGATGGAGGATCAGAGTTCGGGACCAGCCTGGTCTACAGAGCAAGTAACAACAACAACAACAACAACAACAACAACAACAACAAAAGTCATTTACACAGTAAAACGTACAGTGCTAATGTGTGAATAATATTTTCTTGTCTGAATTAAATGCTCAAGATAAAGGGTCATAGTATTTTGGATTAATGGGAAGGCTAAGTTTATTTTAAAATCTTAAGTTAATGATACATATACAAGTTAATTACAAAATTTAAGTACAAAAAGATGAAAACAGTGTTTACCCTCCCATCTTTGTTTTATAACCACCTTGTTACCTACACCAGTAGCAGTGTTTTTAATTTCTTTTTTCTTTTTTAAATTTTATTTGTTACGTATACCATGTTCTGCCTGCATATGTAATTACAGACCAGAACTGGGCACCAGGTCTTATTACAGATGATTGTGAGCCACTATGTGGTTCCTGGGAATTGAACTCAGGACCTCTGGAAGAGCAGTACTCTTAACCACTTAGCTATCTCCAGCCCTTTTTTTTTTTTT